TCCCGCCAAAAAAACAGCACCAAAGCCTACATACCCGACAAAAAAAAACTAAACAAAACTTGGAGGTAAAGTCCACAGAAGAGCCGCCTGGTTTCAGCAGTAGATGGGCTCCGGTAGGCTGGATGTCATGTAGTCCTGTTCAGCAGAGAACTCTGCAGGCTGCCAGTGGCACTCAATCAGAGCGTCGTACAGCTCCTCGCTGAGCTCCATGAACTTCCTGTTGGCCTCCACCACGTCCAGCTCCACACTGGGATCTGCAACACAGGGACAGTCGATTAGAACATAGAGAAGACCTGAACACAAACAGCTAGATCGCTCAGCAGGTAGCACTGCTGACTTCTGTACAGGAGGTTGTGTCATGTCAGTGATCAACCCAAGGTCCTGATCAGAAAGGATCCCCAGAAGCAAGCAGTCCATCCAATTGCCAGCCAGTAACCTGCCTCTGCACAACATGGCAGCTACTGTCTGGCATCACAGCAGCTCAGAGCAGCAGGGCTCAGACAGGAGGTGGGAACACCAGAGGAACCGAGCACCAGCGACTGATCAGCACTGGAGAAACTCATCTGTGCACTGTCTAGACTGACTACAAGACGGCACAAGACTCAAAGCCACAACAGTTTCAGAAAACCCCAATTTTTCCATTTTTTAAAACTGAAAACTATGCATGTTTAATTTCATGTATTTTTTTGTTTCTGCCCAGACCTAATGTATGTGAAAATTGCATGAATAGGTTGCACAACTTCCAAACATACAGAAGGCACATGACACCATGAGAAACAGGTCCTCAGGTTGATTCTCCAACAGCTGCATATTACTTCACAACTCTCCCACTTCCATGCCTGTGTTCACACTACAATCAGATAAAAGGCTAAAAAAGTAAAATAAAATAAATAAACCTTTACAGTCTGTGACACATTTTAAAGTTACAGGTCAATAAAGGTCAGTGAAGACGATACCAGTCATCACCAGCCCCGGTCCAACACTCACCTTCAAGTCCGTCGTCCTCCTCAACAGGCTCACTCTCCTAAAAAAAACAAAAGAAAACAAATATTTATGTGTTTGAACACTGATGAACTGATGCAGCGCCCCCTATCTACCAGAGGAAGTTTACCTGTGGGGGGGGATACTGTGTGTAGTCGTATTGTGGGTAGTTGTAGCCGTACACTCCTCCAGTCTGGTCGTAGCCCCATGAGGAGTAGTACCCAGGATAGGCCTGCTGCTGGTACTGGCTGTACTGGTCGTAGCTGTTCCTGTATGCTGAAGACTGCCACGATCTGTCCCCTGACTGCTGCTGCTGCTGCTGCTTGTTCCTTAAACTTGGAAAGAGACAATGAGACACACTTTGGACCTCCAGCAATCGTTTGGCTTCAGGCACCAACACATCAGCTTGTGCACAAGAAGAGTGACGACTCTGAGAAGAACTCACTTGTTAGCAGCCAGGCTCAGCCTCAGAGGCTTCCCGCCCAGTCCCACGGCACCCTGACACTCCTCCAAGGCCCGCTTCTGCAGCCGCTCGTCTGGGAACTGAACGAAGCCACAGCCCCTACAGCGAGACACGAGGACAGTGGTCAAATATATGGAGAGGGCGGGTGCCGTCATAGGACAGTCCATAACCCAGAGTCGTGTGCTCGGTCCGCCTCAGCTTCACTCATGCTCCTCTTTGCTTATTCTGAGAGTAGCTGGGAGTCAGGAGGAGTCAGACAGCCAGAGCCACAACACTGAAGATGGAAACACGAATGCAGGCAAACAGCAGCTGCTCTGTACATACATGTGTTGCATGTCGTGCAGTGCCGTGTTAGAACTTACTTGGAGTTGCCCATGCTGTCCAGCACCACCTTTCCACCACGACAAGAAGGGTAGCGGTTGTAAAAGAACTCGTATAGCATGCCATCGTCCACCTCTGGAGTCAAATCTCCCACAAACAGAGAATACATCTGACTACGAGCAAAAGACAGAAGCTCTTTGTTACCGATGCACACAGAAGACATCTCATGTTTCTATGACAGGAGCGATCCATGACAAATCTGACACTGAAGACGGGCTGTTGGTATTTGGCCAGTTAACAGAGTATGAGCCAGATTTACCATCCGTCTGTTCCCCCTCTCCCCATCTCTAATCCCCTCCTCCTTTACCCTGCCATGTGCACAAACACAAATGTGCACAGAAGATAAGTAGGGCTGGGTTCTGCTAAGACTGAATGGTACGACTACTTTAACTGACACTGCTTATCGATGCGGTAGTTTAACGTGTTCTTATCGGTACTTTCTGCTGGTTTTTGTTTGTTTTGGTTTTCAAAAAGAAAAAAGTAGACTAAGAACAGAATCCAGATGCTTTATTTTCTCATACCTACTGTATTTACACTGAAACACACAACATATGGAGTTAGCGAAGGATGAGCTGCGACCTCAGCAGTCAGACTGTTTCTTCATCTGTACGTGATGAACTTCACTGAAAGCTTTGACAGATGATGTGTTTCTGCTCCGACATGCAAACACGTCATTATGCTGTAGTGGAGTTTAATCTCACTACTAAATGTCTGTCACCTGTTTGTGCTGCAGGTGAGTGACGGAGCTGCTCCACCGCTCAGACACCAGGAGTTCCGTCTGTCAGTCTGTAGCTCTGAGAGAACTCTTTCAGCAGAACCATTAACATAGGAGCTTAACGCTCCTCCACCCTGGAGCTCAGTCCCCATCCCTACTGGTCGGTGCTGTATGGATCGGTTCAAGGTGTTTATCAGAGACAGGTGTGTGTATACAGTCATCCTGCTTCTCTAGTTGGACTTACCCACCGTCCTGTTTCCCAAAGGTTGCTCGGTTTAGCTTAAATCTTGTGGGCTGTAAGGAAAACACATTACAGCACAAATGTGACATTTCTCAGGAGTTTTCATCAGAACGAGTGGCTGCTGTGAATAACAAACACTCTCCATACCGGATTGGCTCCTGGTAAGGCCTTTCCATTGATTTTGCGAAGACATCTTTCAGCTGTGGCCTCATCCGTCATCTCCACGAAGCAGTAGCCTAGAGCCCCCCTGGGTAAAAACAGACTGCTTAACATCATGATAGAGGAACAGCAGAAATGACGGCTGCCTGTGGATCTAGCTCTCACCCCGTCATCTTGTTGCGTATGATCCGCACGTTGACCACCTGCTCGCCCATGGTGGAGAAGGCTCTGGTGATGAACTTCTCGTCCATGTAGGTCTCCAGCTGCACAACATCAACAACAAGTTACAAAAACAAGGGGGGGAAGCAAGAGTTAAGGATATATATACACACACATATATACATATGCATGTCAAGGCCCAGATTAGAATCGGGCCTGATTCCGGATCGGATTGGAATTCCAATCTAGCTCTGCCTGGAATGGAATCTTCATTTTTTTCCCCTACACATTCTGATTCCTGAATTCTGATCCTGTCTGGCCCTGATCAGAATCTTGGAATTATATTATCATTATAGTAGAACTGTAAGGGTCCACCTTGAGCAGATAACCAAGTAAATGGAAGTACATCGTACTGATAAAACCACTTTTATGCTTCACTTAAGTATAAAACAATGCAGGGATTTTTCTTTTAAATTACTGTTTTAAAGGCCAATATTAACAGTTTTAGTTCAGAAAACAGTCAACCAAAGTTCATATGTTTCAGTTTGCTGCTAGCAAAGAACCTTTTAATTTCTGTATAAAGCCAGGTAGTTTAATCAAACACAACATTTTATTTAGTGAGTAAAACCTGATGCTGTGTCCACTGAGCTCTGACCTGTGAAAGTGAAAGGCCACAGCTGGACTCTCACTGCCCCCTTTAAGATTCAAAATTTTGTTTATTGATCATCATGCAACACCAGATTATTGAACAAACCACAGATGTCGTCCCTTTATGCTCACACACACAGACAAACTATAGCATAAATAATCAAGTGATGCAAATAAAACTACTTCAGTGGTGAAATGTGATAGAATAAATGTAGTAATCTCACAGGCTGAGGATGTGTGATATGCAGCAGATATTCAGAGGGACTTCTGATGATATTCTAGGCGGTTCATTCACCTACTGGTCTACCAGTCTGTAATGTTTTCAGTCCAGCTGCCATGACACCTCAGTACAATCACACTATTAGTTGGCTCTAGAATTGATCATGTGATGTAGACCTGGTCTGATAAGTCCAAGTAGGCGACCGGATTTTTTATTTTTATTTTATTCAGGTGGTTAAAAGAGTCTTTGAGATGCTTTTAAATGTTTTCTGACTAATTGTCTTTCACGGACACTGACGGTTAGCTCTGTGAGCGGAATGTATGCTAATCACAAAGCCGGGGTCTCTCAAAGCCAGCTGGACTGCTCAGCTTAGACAACCAGCACGTCAACCACTCGATCGAACTATTCCGAGGCGATAATAAACTGCTGGTTTTTACAGAGAGTTTATTTCCATCGTATTCATTTGCCGCATGGGGCTCATGTTGAGCTAGCTAGCACCGGTGACGCTAAACAGATTATCTGCAGAAGAAGCTGATAACGGACTCACGTTGCCCATCCATAAGGTGCTCATGGTGCTGCCAGGGCGGGAATAATCCACAGAGAAGTTACTGGTAATGGGAACTGTAAACTAGCCTGAAACTTCAAACACGTACACGCCAGCTAGCATAGCAGCAGGAAGTTACGCCGACACTACGTGTTTACGTCACCGAAAGGCCGCCGCTGATTGGACGAGCAGTCCTCATCGTTTTTTCTGACAACTTTATTGACAGTGGTCAACTTCAGATGACGTTATATGAACTAACAGTGGAGCAAGAACTTGAGTAATTAGTTGTAAAACACGTTAATATGATTAACAAATAAGGTAAAGATTGGTTTTCTAGAGATTTTAAAAGTGATCAGCAGGAACAAAAGACGCACTGAGTGACGTCAGCGCACAACAAAATCTGGTGACCACATCGCCTGGCTTGTTGGGTGAAAAGTTTGTTTTCTCATCAAGGCCTGATGCTACGTGTCCACAGGGGTGATTTTTTTTTTTTTTACCAAACTCGGACAAATTTGCATAAAGTTGAAGTCCAGTCTCCTTTATGCAAATGAGCTGCAGGCAGATGCTCCACAACATGACGGAGGTGATTCACTACACAGTGACTCGGAAGCTCCTGTGGACATGTACTGGGAGCATGGTTATGTCCAGGTTGTGCCACAAAAAGTTTTAGGACATCAAGTCTTAAAATGTTGACTATAATAGTAATATGAAAAATGCACAGATAAATGTAGAATTTTTGTTATTTAAGTTCATGTGTGTCTATTCATTGATTGACATCAACCAGAATGTATTTGAATTGAAAAACTTTGCTTATTGTGTCAAATATTGCACAAGCAACACACGAGGAAAAGGAATTTCACAATAAATCAGGTAATAACGATAACTGTAATAGTAGTTTCAGCAAACCCCTTTAGTCTGCTGCTGGACTGCTACTGATGGCTGAGCTGGACTCAGTCTGGATGCATGCAGATGAAAGATGATGAGTGGATCCAGTCAGTCCCACTGACAGTTATTGCATTTATTGTTGTTAAATTACAGAAATAAAATAAACAAGCTTTAAATGAAAGAGTCTGTGAGAAGGCCTGGTTCCTATGCTGTTTGCTGTCCTCAGCTACACCCAGATGCTGGCGGCTGGTTCTGAAGCCTTCCCCTGTGGGCTCCACCTTCAGCTTCTTCAGTCAGGTGCAGGTGGACTCTCTGGTCTCCTCTAGGTGGAGGTAAACACACCGATGGCCATTCATCCTCCCATAGGCACACATGCACATCACATCCACATCACATCCACATCCTAATAACAAGAAAGAACAGATCAGCATAAAGCTCAGTTTGGCTCCCACACTAGCCAACACCACAGATTATGAAAACTGTCAGTTTATTTCCAGCTGTCCTTCCTGGTTTTGGCTACAGAACAACCAGACAGTTGTATTGCTTTTAGCCTGTATGATATTTTTAAAATCTTCATATTAGTTAAGAATTTTAGCCAGAAACTTACAGTGTGGTATTACTGCGACTGAAAAGTGTATAGTCATCATAAAAATGTATCTGTTATGTGTAAATAAATATGTATTTGTACTTGTTTTAATTAGTTAAATGGAGGTTTAGTTTATGTTCATCTGTGGCGTTAGTTAAACCGACTCTTAACCCTTTCAACACTAACCTGCTATACCAGGCTGGCATTATGACCCCTGTTCAACCCTGCAGACTGGTAGCTCCGGTTTATGGTGAGTTTCTATTACATTCATTTTGATTAGCTATCAGTGGGAATCCCTGTATGTGAACAAGCGATTCAGTCATGAAATAAATTACGCAAATGAAGAAAAATGACATCATCTGACCCCAAAAATCACCAGAAACCAGGATTTTCGCTTCCTTGTTTCTGAAATGTTTATGAGTGATCAAAACTAACTAATTACAAGACTTTGGCTGATGTCTCAGTAGATAAGAACTGATAATTAATTGCATATATCCCTGGTAATTATGAAGTTTACCTTTTCTCTTTCACACCTGTATTTCACCTGTATGTATACGACCAGAGTAAACTTCCAGATATATTTAACCGTCAACTTGTCTACTTTAGATTGATACCAGATATGTAGTGATGTGAAGTCTACTTAAGAATTTATGAGTGATTAATCAAAACCATATCTGATTATGAATTTGAAGCAAAGCTACTTAGTGTTGAAGTGTATAAGGAATACACATTTACTTAATGTTGGAAGGGTTAAAGACATCAGACCTACTTTGAAGAGCGACAACACAAGACTGACCAGAACAAAAAAACAAAACGAAAGCAACCAGAGGCTGGATGAAGCTGCTGTGATGTCACCACTAGGTGGGTCTCCTCAGCCAAACAAGGACGCTTGTTTACATGTGAGTCTCCGGTGGACGGCTGAGGAAGCTCAGGTGGTGAAGCAGGTTGTCATCTCATTGCACGTTTTGATCCTCATGTCAAAGTTTCACTGGTGCATGAATTAGTTGTGAAAGGGTGAATGAGAGACAGATTGTAAAGCACTTTGAATACCACTAAGGTAGAAAGGTGCTGTATCAGTGCAGACCATGTATGTGTAGACATACTTATCACATCCATCCATGACCGCTTTGTCCCTGTAGGGTCGTGGAGAGGTGAGGGACTTATCCCAGCTGACTTAAGGGGAAGTATAAGACAGACCCTACTTCTATCACATCATTTAAATTGTGATTGCTGGTCAGTGACTTTCGCGTCCTGGGAGTCCACATTGAGCAGAAAATGACCTGGAATAAGAACACCACACAGTTGGTAAAGAAGGCACAAAAAAGACTCCACTTCCTGAGAATCCTCAGAAAGAACAACATCAGCCAGAGACTGCAGGTGTCTTTCTACCATTCCACCATGGAGAGCATCTTCATGTACTGCCTCTGTACGTGGTTTGCCAGCTGCACAGGAAAGACCTCCAGAGGGTCACCAAATGGTTGAGAAGGTCACTGGGTGTCCTCTACCCACACTGGAGGACCTTCATGGCTCTTTCTGCCTCAGGAGAGCCAACATCATCCTGAAGGACTCCTACCACCCCGTCCACTTCCTGTTCTAGGTGCTGCCATCGAGCAGTAGGTACAGGGCCATCAGAACCAGGTCTAACAGACTGAAGAACAGCTTCTTTCCAACTGCTGTCAAAGCCCTAAATGCCTCTTTATCATAATAAGCGCAATATACTGTTCTTAAGCAGCTGCCACTACCTCTGTGCAATATCCACTGTGCTCGTGCTTATTATTTAATTTCATCTTTATATATATATATATATTATGTTGTATATAGTTGTTTACAAAGTTTTTATATATTTTTGCACTGAGAGGCTGCACCTTACTGTTTACTGTACTCGTTGCAATGACAATAAAATGAATCTGAATCTCTTGTGGGCTACTTATCTTATTAATTATGTCAACAATTAAAAAAACATGACTTTACCAGATTTCAATCAATTAAAGATTATGTTGTCTACAGTAGTTTGCTGATAAAGTCAAGAGACGTTGTGCCATCCTGTCCACCCCTACAACACCGTGGCTCCGCCCCTGACGCCAGGTTGCTTGGTAGACGTCCAGGTTGCTGCTCTCTTCAGGTTGCTGCTCTCCTCAGGTTGCTGGGTGAACGTCCAGGTTGCTGCTCTCCTCAGGTTGCTGGGTGAACGTCCAGGTTGC